AAGGAGTTGTTGTGCACAGAGAGCGCTCACCCATGGGGGGGTGGAAGGCAGAAACCAGCGCCATCCTGTAGGCGCGGTCCTTCGCAGCTCTCCACATAAACCTGAGACACAGTGGAGAGAACCGACTTCTGGGTGACACCAGAAGGAGCTATCTCCAAAAGTAGCACACGTATGGGACCAAAACACATTTAAGTATAAGAAAAAAATTTTGACCTTTTCTCCTAAGTTTAGTTATCATTTAATTGGATAAAAAAAAAAGTTAAAGACTTAAGGCCTTTACTGTAAAGTGCTTAGGTAATCTTGTTCAGGCTTTTAAAATATTCCTTGTAAAATTTAAGTAAATAGTGGTTACTCTGCCACCTAATAAATGCTCTTAGAACAGCTGCCACTCTTTAAAGCACAGGACAGGTTTCCCCAGCCATTCTTTGGTAAATCCCCACTGAAGCCTATGGCTAATGGAATGTTAATCAGAAAAAACTGCTCGATTTCTTTCTGGAGACATCTCTAGTTGTATGAGCCAAAAAAAACCTGAGAATACCTAAGGGGTTAAGGTGCTGTACCCGAAGGTGCCTTGGTGAAAACTGGTTTCTGACCACTAAAAGTTTACATCTGCTTTATATGTTAACTGAAAATAAGATGTTTGCCAGCTGTATTGTATTTTTACCAATATGTAAAATGTGATGCTAAATGATAATAAGATTCACCTGTGAGTTCAAGGTTAAATCTTTAGTTGCTAAAATATTTATGTAATGTTAATCTTAAATCAAGTTTTGACTTCTATAAAAAGATAAACAGCATTATAGGCTAATGTTGCATTTGGAAATAAGTATCATATTGTTAATTTTAAAACAACCAAAAGATAAAAAGCCAGTCTATCATGGTTTAGCTGTAACAAAAACTACCTGCTCCCACTGGAGCCCAAGTAGTCAGACCCCTGCTGGCCAAATAGCCAGGCAGGAAATTATAATAAAAATATTTTTTAGTATATATTCTTATAGGTCTAAAAAGAAATAAGGCCAAACCTTCAGTTATTAAATTTCAGCTATTTACCAGAAAAAAGATAAACACCCCTCTGATTTCTTAAAATGTTTAGGTAAAGTATACTTTTTTTAAGATGCTAATTCAGTGAGGGAACAGATTACTCTTACAGATAAGTTCATGACTTAGTCAGCTTCAGATATTAAAAAAGCTACAAAAGATAGCTTTTGCTCTAGACAACTCACTTAATATTTTATAAAACACTAAAAAAAAAAAAAAAAATGTCCTATGATTAAATCTGGGAGAAAACCAGGGAGAAAAACCAAAAGACCAACAATGACTGCCTTTGTTGTGGCCTCAAAACAGACCCTAAGTCTGATTCTCTGGGCTCCAAGAAGATCTCAATGACAATGAGTTTCACCTACTAGTGCTGTCAGAAGCCAGGCCACTGTAAGAGGGACTGCCTTAAGAGGCCCCCAAGCCATGCCCTGACTGATAAGGCGGCCACTAGAAGTGAGACTGCACTCTGAGGCGGAGGCCCCAGAGCTCGGACTCAGCTTCCCAGATGGCCCAGCAGGACTGAAGGGCGCTGGGCCTGCCTCCTCCCTCTGGCTGGACTGTTACCTCTACCTGTCCTCTCCATGGAGGAGCCCTGAGTAATCACGACTACAGGGAAAAACCCAGCCCATTGCTGGATATTGGCACAGGTCTCTTTGTCTTCTCCAAGCCTGACCTTCATTCCAGTCATCATCATCTTGTTTTAAGCTGTAATTGAAATATATTATTCATGTACATATAAAATCCTGTCAATATAAAAAAGTTCTAGAGACACTGGCTACACAGTGTCAAATAGCTTTGGGCCTATAAATAGAGCCAGGCCTTGTCTTTAGAACATAAAATTCAGAGCCAGTGTTAAAAAGATAAATCCTTCTACAGTGCCCCTTGATTACAGTAGGGGCCATATCCAAAACTAAATGAGACATTGGTTTAATCTGACTAAATATTATGTATTTCATAATAAGTAAATTAAGTTAGCCTGGTTGATTTCTGATGTAACTCAGGTATTTCATGTTGTTAATAAACACAAGTGTAAGTAGGCAAATATGTCAAACTGTACCTAAATTACTTAAAAGGATTGACAGTAAAAATAAGGTATTAATCTGGTTTTCCATATGTTCTCGAAATTTAGAGATAATTATAAGTATAGCTAAAAAGATTTACAACAAACTATCAGACTCCATGAATAAAGGGGTCTAAGAGCTAGTAAGTTATGATTGCTAGTTTTCAAAAAGGTTTATAAATATACTTGTTAGCTCAAATATTCTAATCGCTCAAAAAATTGTTCTGTCCTAGAAGATACTAAAACCCAAGTAACCATACAGGTAAAAATCTAAAACCAAAAGGTTATATGTTGCTCAGTGAGCCCCAGATTTCTGACAAAGCTATAGGAGTAAGAAGGGTTTGCAGAAATAAATTTGTCTGAGTTGAGGTGTTTCATAGTAAAAAAAGATACAAAATAAAATTATAGATTAAAAAAAATAAAAATGTGGATACTAGCAGCCTACAAAAAAGCCCCCCCCCCAAAAAAAAAAGGGAGACATTTCAAAGAACAATGTCCGTAGCTGTTTAATAGATGTTCATGTAAATTTATCAGTGACCCCACTTACAAACTGGACAGTACTCAATGTTGTCCCTAGGTCTGACAATTCATGTGCCCCCAGTGATATAAAATTAATAAAACACAAAAATAGGCCAGTTTGAGACATACCCATTTGCCATAAAAGATAAAAATTGCCTGGTGTCTATTGAGGGGCTTTAGATAAAACCTCTAGTGTCTCTGACTGCCAGTCAACAGCTGCGACCCATTCCAGCATGAAGTAGCCAGAGCAATCATCGCCCATATACCCTCACGGCAGTCTGGTCAGATAGGGCTGAGCCCTCAAGGAGACAAAATTAAAAGACAAGGTGAGACTCCCTGGCTAATATTACAGCCCAAAAGGTGGTAGAAAACCAGTGGGGACACAGGAGATATTGCTTGTTCTAGAGTCCTAAAAACCCAACTACTCAGACTCTGTTAACTAGTGTTCCTTGCTGTTAAAATAGATTGGCAATGGTGATCCATGTTAAATTAATTTAATAACCTGACCAAAGTGCCGCCATTCTGTTCTGTATACGCCGTCTTAGTAAACCACGTCAACTGCTGTAAAGTACAGAACAAAGCTAGTGAGTCAATGATTTGATTCACCCCCTTAAAACCAGTGGGGAATGTTATACCCTGTCAAAATTGACTCCATTTTGTTGCCCTTCTAACCTCGCCAAGTTCCTGTTCTGTATGCGCCAACCCCTCCCAATTCCTCACCCCTGGACTGCCAACTCAAATTCCTCCCAATTCCTCCCAATTCCTCACCCCTAATGACTCAAGTCTTATATCCGTTCCCCAAACCTTATCTCAATGAACTCTGTATGACTGCCAACTCAGCACCTTCACCCAACAGGACCACCTAATGAACTAATGACCCTGCCACTTCTTCCTCTCCACCCCTCCCCTCTTTCTGCAGTTTTCAAGCTTAAATACTGACCCCTTGTCAATGCTTGGCACATGCCTCTTTGCACCTTGCATAGAGACCACCGCTGGGTACCAGCTAAAATAAAGCGCTTCTTTTAACTTTTGGACTTGCCTTGTTGTCATCTGATTTTTGAGCTACAACAGCTCTAAAAACATATTTGGCCACTCCGAGACAGCCTGTTTCTCTGTCCATTCCAACTCCACACCTCTGTCATTGTCCCCTGGGCCCTGAGATGGGGGCATTGAACTCCTGCCTCTGATTGTGAGACTCCATATGGGGCAATCCCCTCCTGCATCAAACAGTATCCCATACCAAGAGATACCTGGCTGAAAATTATCCGGAGGTTTCAAGATTGCAACCTACACACAGAGTGTCGAACTGCTATAAAACACCTTCCCTTCCTCTAAAGCCAGGCCAAGACCTCCACGCTGTCCATGTTATCATGATCGCCTTCTGTATTCATTGCCTCTGTCTTCTGCCACCCATGGCCTACCTGGACTTAAAAGTGCCGCACCTGCCTGGACCTAAAGGTGCCCCCTCCTCTGTCTTCAGTCGGCTCCTGTCAGCCACTGCCTCTTTGTCTTTAACTGGAAAGACCCAATTCTGAGCTCAGAGCTTAGCTGACCTGGACTCAGCCTCCCAGCAGTTCACAAGCTTGTTTCTCCCCCTTTGGAACAGTCCTTACAGCCGACCTCACTGGTTTCCCAGCACAGAACAGCGCCGCCCTTCTGAGTACTGACTCTCAAGTTGCAGCAAAGCTCTACTGCAGTGTCCGGCAGAAACTGGTCACAGAAAAAGTTCCACAAATCTCTAGACGCTGCTGGATTTGGATCCTCACATTACCAAAACCAGGGGTTCCTAGACTGTCAGCCCGCGGGGCACCCAGTGGGCCACCTGTGCCAATCCCTGGCTGTAGCAGTGAGGCTGCTTCGCTTATGGCTCCATACACTGTCCTTCTGATAAAAAACAAAACCTGACACACTTGCTTTAGGCTGAGCCCTCACTGTCCAGATGCCTCAGGCTGTGCTAGACCTCCTAAGTAATCGTGGACCACTCAGCCCTGCCACGTGCCTGCCCGCCAAGCTGGCCCACCAGGCCGTGGCTGCCTGGCACTCTGATGAACTGTTGTGGAGCCCACTGGACCTAAACAAATCCCCTGACAGATGCTGAGTACACTCTGCTTACGGATGGAAGCAGCTCTGTCAGACATGGAGTCCGACAGGCTGGATATGCTGTGGTCACCTTGGACAAAGTCACTTTGGCCAAAGCTCTCTGACAGGAAGCTTCCACTAGTGGCCCCAAGCCTGCACTTAGAATAATTTGGTCCAGAAGCCTCAGCCCCTCCAGGGTCCACCTGACTGAAGCACCGACCCCAGCCGGAAAACTTACCCACGTTCCCAGAGGATCCGAGCCAGTCCGCCCCGCTGTGTGCTCCGCAAGCTCGAGCCACAGAGCTGGCACCCCCAGCCCGCAGCCAGCTCAGGTTTCAGCGTCTGTGCCCCTGGCCCTGGCCTCTTGCGATATAGTGGACTCTCCCTACTTAAAGCTATCTAGATCGATTAGCCAGAAATACAACCTCACAGCAGCTATACCTGTTAATGCTTGTCTGCACCTGCTCAGGCTGGCCCAAGACATTCTCTACCTTCCTGAAAAGACAAGCCGAGTCTATAGGGTCCTGCTGCCAGTAGTACTCATAGACACTCCTGCACACGCATATAACCCAGGTGCCTCTGCAAGTTTCAGAAATCCAGCTTTAGATCTGCTAGAACATCTACCTGGGCCGGGCAGCTCACTCCGAAGAGACAACGTACGCACAGCCCTGCTCTGGCCACTCCGGACACTGACCAGCCTGGGCGCGGCTGAAGCCCGAGGACGCTCTTCGCAGGATTGCTGCACAGCTTGGTCAGGGGGCTGCAGATGCAGCTCAGCAGCATAAGCGCCTGCCTAGCTTGATCAGGCCGCTTACCCAAGTCCTGGCTTCCCTGCCTCTCTGATAGCTGTAGTTTTGGCACTAAACTCCAGGGATGGTTGCTCCGGGAGAATAGAACACTCCATCACACACTTGACCAAGATTTAATGAGCATCCAAGCACACTGGACGCTCTCCTGGTCCAGAGTAACTCCCTCACTGCCCAGCCAGAGTAACAGTACAGAAAAGATGGGCCTAAATCATGGCTCTTCCTAAAAGCTACTTAGGCAAAACCTCCATAATAGGAGAATCTTGGGCACCTGGCGAGGGCCCACCCTGGATCGCTGACCGCTCTGGGGTCACTGCTTCTGGTTGAGCCCTGTGTCAGAAGATCACACGTAAGATGCCCAGCAAAGATTTGCCGGGAAAGCTAAAGAAGGGGGGAATGTAGCAGAAAGTGCTCCGGGCCAGCGCCTTCGGTTGCCCAGGCAACGGTTCCCGGGCTGCTTCTACCTCCCAGGAATGGTGGTCACTGTAATGCATACTGTGAGTCCCAATCAGGGACAGCAAGTACTCCACCTCTGTGCCCCCCCCCTTGAGGTCCCGTGAATCCCCCTCCCTGGGCCTTCAAGGGGAATGATCCCATCAGTGCCTGTTGAAGTTAAAAAAAAAAAAAAAAAAAAAAAAAAATCTGCCTCAAAGTCCCGGGCGGCATTTCAGTGTTTCTGCTTGCTGCTGCACAGCCGACAGATGCTAATTTGGAAGCAGTTTCTTGGCAGGTTTGTGGCTCCAGACTTCCTGGTACCTCCTGCCCTGTTTCCCTTTCAGGGTGTCCCGGATTCCCCGGTAGGGTGAGACCAGTGCATGGTGAGGGCTGTAGGAAAACAGGAGAAAAATCCCCGGATGAGCGCTGCGCTCTCCCAGGGCCTGCCCCAGCACAGGGGCTCCGCCGGGCAGCCCCAGGTGGGCCGGGCTCCGCGGAGCGGAGAAATGCACGCGGCACCTGTTCACCATGTCCTCGCAGTCTTCTGTGCCCTGAACTCTGGGCGGTGAGAAGAGGAAAGCTGGAGGCTCAGAGCGCTCCTGTCAGACGGTGCTCCCTTCTGGGGCCCACTGAGCCGCCGAGGTACAGTGTCACCAAGGGTCACCTGTTGCTCCGCACAGACCCTCAGCAGGGGCCTGGAGCCTGGTAGCTTCCCGAGCTGGGTCCTCCGTCTCCTGTCACCGGTGAGTCCCATTTGCGGGGCCAAGCGCTGAAACCTCCCCTCTAAAAGCCCTGCACCACAGGACTGTTTGGACAACTGTGCAGCGGCTCTCTGCTGGCACGTGGGAAGGAGCAGTAAATGCTTGTTTTATTTTTTGTCTTTTTTCACCTTTGTCCCTTTTTCTCTCTTAATTTCTTATAACATTTTTCTTTCTTTTTGCAATTATGCATGTGTATATCTGGTAATCTGAACAACTAATTTGAAGACAACACTATGCAATACAACAAACACTGTCAAATTCATATTATTTGTTTAGTGAAATTATGTATCATTTGTAATTTTTTCACATTATTATATACTTTATTTATTTATTTATTTAGCAGTACTGGGGATTGAACTGAGTACCCCATGCTTGCCAGGCAGGTGCTTATTCTACTGAGCTATCTCGCCAGCCCTGTATTTTCTTTGAAAAATAAATAAATAAAATAAAAAATAAAAGCCCTGCTCCAGATCTTGGGGAGCCAGCTAAAAGTGTTCCAGGACATGAAGCACATGAACAAACACGTTCCTCAGTGAGTAACAATGACTGCAGACGTGGAAGGATGCACAGAAAATGCACAATCCAGAACAGAACGTTTTAAATAATTACAAAATTGTATCTGCAATGTATAAATTTCTAAGAAATATTTATTATATTGTACAGGCTCAGAAATACTTTTAACATTTATTATATTTTCAAATGATCTGAAACTGAAAAATTTGTATGTTTTTTTAAACTACTCAGCCTGAAATACATCTTAAGTTTCAGAAGCTTAGCAGAAGCAAAGTGGAGATCATGTTTAGTTTAGATTTTTCATCCCTGAAAATTGCACTTAATGCTTTTGATGTCTAATAATCATCTGGCTTCTCTCATTTTGATAAATGGTATCTGGGGAAACTCAGGTGATTGGACCGCAGTTAAGTTTTTGACTAAAATGTGAAGACACAAAGAGAAGAAATGTGGGATTTCTGCTGTTCACTCTGGCTCAGCATTTTCAAACAAGGCCTGGCTATATATTCTAGGCTCACCTTGAACTCACCTAGAAGCCAGGCTGTCCTGTCCTGGCACTTGGCAATCTTCCTGCCTCAGCGTCCCTAGTGCTGGGATTACAGGTGTGCAGTACCTTGCCTGGCCCCATGATAGCATCTCGTGCGAGTTTAATAGCACCTACTATGCTGTCTAGTGCATAGTAGGCACTTACTTGTGTGTGAATATTAGATATTCACAAATCAATATACATACTTGAATTTTCTGCTATTGATGAAAGAGTAAAAATGATAATTCAATAATAAAATTATTAGAAAGTTTAGTCAATAATGAATTGTATTTATGTACAAGGTGGGTCAAATTTAGTACATAAAATAACATGGGTCATAATTTAAGAATAAATTATTGCTTTCATCAAACAGTTTGCAGTTTAACTTAGAAATTGATCTTGTGTGAAATTTGCATAGCTTTATAATTTAGTCAACAATTTCATGTTAAAAAGTGTTCATTTCACAGAGAAAGCATGACTTTTGCAGATATACGAGTCTGGATAAAAATCAGGATGTAAAGTAATTGCAGATTCTAGACACTTTCCACTCCCCTCACCCATCAGGACCC